TTGAAGACAAGCCCCTTGGGCTGGGCCTGACTTGTTTTTTCTGTTTGCACCACATTTTTTCACCTACACCCCCCTGGCCCATTGTGTGATATATTTGTCATTTTTGATTTTTTCTTTTTGATTCTGATTTTATATTTTTATTCAAGCATGAAAAAACACTAAAAATATTTTTCTCACATTTTTTGCATTTTATTTGATATTTATTTGTTTCATTTAGTTACATATATAAATAAATATAATACTATTTGTTTAAAACATTAAAAATAATAATACAAAATATATTTTTTAGTTATTATTTTTTTATTTACATTTTGGAAACATTTTCTAAAAAATATACTTTTTTTTTGTAAATAATTAACATTTTTTATTTTTGTACATATTTAATATATTTAGTAAATAATATAAATACTTATCTATCTTTTATTAAATATTTAGGATAAATATAAAAATAATACATTTTTATTTTTATTAATATTTGACCTCAAAAATCACTTTTTTACAATATACTTCCTTTTTATTTATTTTTTGTATATAGTTAATAAATAATAAATACTTTTTATTTAGCAAATTAGGGTTTTACCCTAAACCATGAAAATACCCAAAGATTAACCTTTTTTTATTTTTGTTTATTTGTCATATGAAAAATACTTTTTACATACATATAAAAATCATTTTTGTGCATTTTGCATATTTATTGTATTTATTCAATTATTGTACAATTAGATAACTTGTATATTCAATTTGGATTGTAATAGTTTAGATTTAAATTTCTTGCTAAATATCCCCATTTGAACATTTGTACCCCCATCCCATAATTATGTTGTAATAATTTAGGACTTTAAATTCCACATTTTAAAGCTTTCTAATTATACCATGATAGACTTAGGGTTTTGTATACAAAAACCAAATGACAAATAGCTTGACCTAATTCAAAGACAAAAAAGCATGAAAATGGACAACACCAATCACACTTGCACCCCTAGGGTTACTCCACTTGTTGCCTTCAATAATGGGCCATGTTGCATGTTAGGTGTCCTTGGCAAAACAAAACAATTCAAATGATCATAGTCCCTCGATGACGCTTTCGAAAGTTGCCTAAAAATGATCAAGTCCCTTAAAGGAAAAATTGCCAAAGACACTTGGCACTATTGCAATCATGGTCTAAACGATGACCCGCGCCCGTCCCGTTAACATCCTAACACAAGATTGTCCATCAAATGCAATGGTGGAACAATACTGTTAAAAGGGTTAAAACATATGAAAGATCTTTGAGAAATTTAGGGTAGATAGCTCTTGGTTACTTGACCAACCTTGCAAAACAGTCCTTGCCATTTTTCAAAACACACATCACAACACACTTTCAAAACAACTTTAAAAAAAAAAACATTGAAAACTTTTCAAAAGATAAGTACACCTTTGTATACATTCAAACATGGCTCATTACAAAGGTTGCCACAACAAATGGCCTCTTTTTCAAAATATTTTCAAACCCACACACAAAGCACCATTTCAAACAATTGAAAATTCAAGGCAAGTGATCTAAGCAAGTAACTAAGAGCCCATGGATAACCATGGATAGAAAGGGTGCTAATACCTTCCCTTTCTATAATCTACTCCCCGAACCCAAGAAAACATCTCAAAGGTTTTTGCTGTGCTTTTTAACCTTTCCTTAGGATAAAATAAAAAGTCGGTGGCGACTCTTGCTCAACCGAAACATTTGCGAAAACAAACGCAAAACCTCAAGTCAGTTCTCCCACCGTATCACAGCTAGTAACTAAGAGCTCGTCGACAACTATGGATAAAAAGGGTGCTAATACCTTCCCTTTCCATAACTTACCCTCGAACTCAAAATCTTTAAAAAGGTCTTTTCTGTTCTTTTCCGCCTTTCCTTTGTTGGATGAAATAAAAGTCGGTGGCGACTCTTGCTAATCGTAACATTTGCGATAAAATGTAAAACCAGAAAAGTCAGTTCTCCCACCGTATTACACAGTGCAAGAAGAAGAGGGAGTAGATGTTGGTGTTGGCTTGATTCTTCGCTGATGATGTCATGGACCTACGAGAATGCAGGAAGAAGATTTCATGGTTGTGGTAACTTCAAGGTGTTGCAGAAAAAATGTTGTAATTACTTTCAATGGTGTGATAAAGACATGAGCAACATAGCAAAATATTTGATTAGAACTTTGAAGGACAAGAATGACGAGATTGATGCTTTACTTAGGGACACCAAAAATTGTGAAGATTTTCTTAAGATGAAGATTAAGTTGATGTCTTATTTTGTTGGTTTATATATGGTGTTTGTGTTATTAATTGTGTTTGCATTGGTTCTAACACATGCACTCAAATGAAGTTGGTTGTAGGGTATTAACTGAAATTAGATCTGATGTGATTTCTCTTCTTGTACTTGAATCGTTATTTTTTATGGAATAAAAATTGACATAAGTTTGCTCTAATTCTATGTACTTTGATCGTTACTTATGTGCAATTGTGTCTATATGCAATTGTGTCTATCTGTAATTGTGTCTATTATCATAAGTTTGCCCATAATTTTCTCATAATTTTCCCATAATTTTCCCACAATTGTGTCTATATGCAAGTTTGCCCATAATTTTCCAATGTTGTGTAATAATTTTTTTGCCCAAATTGTTACTTTATCTACAATTTGCTATAATTTGTCCATAAATAAAAGCTTAAACTATTTCACAAACATGTAATAACTTGTAACCATAATTTTCATAACATAACAATTTAGCAGCATAGCAGACCACTGGGACAACAACTTAAACATGACCCTAAATATTTTGGTCATTACAAAAGAGATAACAAACAACATAAAATAAATTGCAACATAACAGAGTGACTATTATTGAGTTGCATAACAGACTACCAAGACAACAACTTAAACATGACCCTAAATGTTTTGGTCATTACAAAAGAGATAACAAACAACATAAAACAAACTGCAACATAAAAAGTGACTATTCTTGGGTTGATGGTGGTGCTTACGATCCTACTGCAATTACCGTTGGTTCAACAACTTTGTCAACCTTTTTTTTGCCTTTTTATTTCCACCTTTAGGAATCTCTCTCTCTGCTGCTCTCTTCCCTTTACAAGTTCACTTGTTATGGCCAAAGCTACCATATTTCTTGCACTTGACAGTTTGAAGACTTCTAGGCAATGTATTTCTTGTTCTTGGTTCATCATTTGCCTTGTTACGATTCTTCTTTAGACGACCAATAAACCTCATCATGTCTGGAGGGTTGATTAGGTTAGTAACATTAGCAAGCCATAGTCGCGGGCCATTAGTTGGCATAACGATATGGCCATAAGTTGCCAACATAGTAGACTTCCTATTCACATGAAAATTATGCATTAGTAAGTTAACATATTATGACTAATTAACATAATACGAGAAGTAGTGTTACCTATAGAACAATGAAACAAAATGTTCGAGCTCTTTCTTGGCATACCACATGCAAGCGATACCATGGCAACATGGGATTCCGGTTAAATCCCACTTCCTACAACCACACTTCTTTTGCAGCAAGTTAACAAAATACGTCTCAACACCGTTTGAAACCCCAAAAATAGAAAAGTCATCATCAAAATGCCATGTTGCAATCCACTCTTCTGTTGCCCTCTTTGTTTTTTCTAATACTTTTTGAACGTTAGGACTTATTACACCGCCGTACCTACATAATTTCTCCTTTTGAGTTGAAATTCTAACTGTTATGTAATGTTTGTTCCATCTAGTAATGAAATGATTGGTATGTCTCTATATTCCAATATCTCTCAATTAAAAGCTTCACACATGTTGATGACTTGCAAATCGCACTATGTATTTGTCTTGAAATGCGATCTACTCCAACATGCAGCAGGTACAAACATCATGCCTTTCCAAGCATTCTAATTGAGCTCTTTCATCAAGTTCAGTGCTCTTTCCTATCCAGGTATTGTTGTGGCCCTAGCTTCTCTCCATAAAGCTTCCTTCATATGTACCCATGATATTTCTTCCTCCAATTTCCATACAAGTGTTTAACACACAACTGCCAACATGTTTGCTTGTCTCTAGAATAGCTGGTACCATACCCTGTTCAATAAGATGACATATTTAAGATGACATATTTAAAGACATCATATGACATATTTAAAGACATAATAAGTTAGTAAAACTAACCTTTTGTTGTTCATATATAAATTCGTAGTCCATGTCTTGAATGGATTGCAAGTCCTCAAGTAATAACTTAAGGAACCATTGCCAAGAGTCATTTGTTTCATCTTCCACTATGGCATAAGCGATTGGATAAATTCTTATATTTCCATCATTCCCAACAACACCTATTAACTGACCTCCAAAGTCGCCTTTCAGAAAACAAGCGTCCAATCCAATTAAAGGCCTACAAGTGGTTGCAAATGCTGCCTTACAAGCCTATAAACATACATATATTCTTTCAAACATAGGTCCAACATCTGAATCAACACACTTAATTTTAACAGTAGAATTTGGATTTGACTTTAACAACTCCTCAATATAACTCCTAAGATGCTTGAACTGATCTCAACCGACACCTTGGATTAACTCTATAGCTTTTATCTTGGCTCTATAAGCTTAATGGCTTGATAGCTTCACACCCCATCTCCTAACACCTTCTGCAAATCAGCCCTTTATTCTTCATTTCAGGAGTGTGTCTTAGGGTATCCACAAATTTGTGAGCTAACCATTGCGTTTTCGCTTGTCTATTCTTGGCTGTCCTATGTCAAGTATGTTGATCAATGAAGCTAACAATTTGCTAAAATTGGCTGGTTGACCTCATGTTAAACCTAATATGAAATGGGCAACCTACAATACATTTGGAAACCACTCTCTTCTTATCATTCTTCATGATTTTGAGACTCTTTTTGTTCTCCATAGCAAACTCCTTAACGACATTTCTTATTTGCTCTTTATTCTTGAACATCACCCATACTTCAAGTTTTGTAGATCCTTTAAAAGTTGGAAACCTCTATATATCAACTTCGACATCACTATCTGGTGGAGTATGAAGCACATCTGAATCACAACTTTCATTATCAGAAATATCATTCATCCTTGAAGGTTTTTCTGTTGTAACTGTAGGGAGAATTGTCTGCCAATCAACAACAACATCCTGACCTAAATCCAACTCATCTAAGTCAACTTCTTCATCATCATCCTCATCATCCTCACTGCTCAAGTTATAATCTGGATCTGTTTCACTATCTTCACCTGAATTTTCAACATCAGTAACCACTACATTTTCCTCATCACTAACTTTTTCATTATTAACCTCTACATTTTCATCTTCACTAACTTCTTCAGTAACCTCAACGTTTTCTTCTTCTCTAACTTCTTCAGTAACGTCCACAGTTTCTTCCACAATTTCTCCCTCACCATTAACCTCCATAATTTCCTCAACATTAACCTCCACAGTTTCCTCACAGATGCTCCCTCCCCATTAACCTCCATAGTTGCTCCCTCACCATTAACCTCCACAGTTTCCTCAATAATTGCTCCCTCACCATTAACCTCAATAGTTGCTCCCTCACCATTAACCTCCACATTTTCCTCAACAGTTTCTCCCTCCCCATTAACCTCCCTAGTTTCCTCAACATTTTCCTCACCATTACTTCCCTCCTAAAAAATAACATCGCCAATACATACTTCTTCAACTCTGTCTTCTACATAGATGTCAACTAGTTTAAATCCTCTAACATCTTTCACTAACCTTAACACGTCTTTGTCACTATTCAGAGGCCGAAGTCCACGTGAAAAGGAAAAGTTGAGATTCCAATACCATAGGCACTTTATGTTACAATACCCCTCTGCCTTGATCAAGTCTTCAATTTGCATATACGACAGGAAATCCACATCACAATCCCAATCCATTTCAGTAACAACCTCACCAACATACAACTTCATTGGGTTATCTACAAAACGTCTCCGATGATGTAATCTCAGTCTGACAAGTTGGGTGTCGGATGACTTGCAACAAAATATATTAGGGACCACTCACAGACATTAGGGACCACAACATAAACAAATCACATAAAATAATCAGTAAATGCAATAGAACATAAAGAAATCGGGGATGAGACCACAACAACAACATAAAGAATACTGGGATGGGACCACAACATCAAACAAAAACCCTAACTTAAAACCACAACATCAACATAAAGAAGAGATACGAACACAGCGACGCCGACCTTGTCACGTAACTTGGATTTTCCATTGATGAGCTGCATAAAGAGAACGATGATTTACAATGGCGATTTAGGGTTCGTTGGTCACATATGAAGAGAGATGAGCAGATGGAGAGAGTAAAGCTTGTTTTTATTTTGGGATGTCATTTTTGAGAAATGAAATATTGCATTTACTTCTGCAATTAACATAATGAAAGCTTATCTGCGTAAATTAAACATTATTTCTCAAAATGAAATTAAAAAAACTTAATTATATTAATTTGCATGACATGGAACTGACACATCATCAAAAATAATGTCACGTCATACAAAAACGCACCCATATTTGAAGGAGGATCACATTAAAAATTAGAAAAATGACTAAAATAGAGACTTTAAAAATGGAGGGATCAAAATCACGTAAAATATTAAATAGGGAGATCAAAGTTGCAATTAAGCTTTACATTTATTGACTATTTGAACACTTAATTTTATCAAATATTTTAATTTTAATATAAAATAAATTAATTATGTATTAAATATCTTTTATGTTATTTTATACTCACTCCATTTTAAAATGAGTGTGATTTAAGTTTTTGCATTCAGATTAAAAAATGTAATAATATTGTCATAAAATATTGCACTTTTACTAAATTAATTTTGTTAATGCATTGAAAGTAGTGTAAAATATAATAATTAAATAATACAATTGAAAAATAATAATCATTTCTACATTAAAAAATAAAAATAATATTTATTTTAAAACAAATTCTAATAGTGAAAACGACACTCATTTTAAAAAATATCTATCAAATAGTTGAATAGTTAATTTTATAAAAAATTTTAATTAACTTATCAGTATTATTAATTAACTATCAATCATAAATTATAAATTGAAGCATAATAATCTGTTATCATACATAAATTATAAATTATAAAATAACTTTATCAAAAAAGAGTGACAGTTATATTGTGACTTCTGATTAAAGAACGTCCCATTTTAAATCTTCAAATTATATTTAAAATTCAAATTAAGCCACGTATACTTTATTTCCCACCACCACAATATCAAAACCAAATTTAAGACTTTGTTCATCATAATTCATAATGTCCAAATCCAATGGACGGTGGAAGGATATGGCAAACCGCTCTCTCTAAACATTGAGCATATTCTCCAAAGTGCAGCTTTAATGTTTAAATTTTCAAACATCATTATCCCATTTCGTCTAATTAATTTGTTGCATGCGGTTGAAAGAGATTATTAGGAGTATTAATGTATACTATAGGAACAAATACCTTTGAGAGAGACACCACTTCTCCACCTAAAACTTTAAAAGTTACATCACACGCTCTTTATTTATTTATTTGATTCTTTTTATCATCACGAGTGTCAATACAATTTGATTTCATGGTATCTATCCACGGCTACTTTGCAGTTTGCACCTAGTTTTGTATGTAAAAAGTTATTTTACAAAAGTGATATTGTTTAATGGCCCGGTACAGAACACGCAAGACACATTATGTGACTTGTCTCATTTCAATCGAATTTTTAAACCTTTCAACATTAACTTTAAAAAAGTTGAATTCGAATAAAAAATAACAGTAAATATAAATCTCTAATTTGTGTCAAATAATTCAATGACAAAAATGACTGCAATTTAAATTGAAAAATAAATGTACTAGTATATGTTATGAGAAAGAAAGAAAAGGAAAAGGACAGGTTAAAATTCGCGAATGATCCAAGTCCAAGTGCGGAAGAGGCGGACGTGGGACCCGCACATAATAGACCCCACTCTTCTCCCCTCGTTGTTTGTTCTTATCCCATTTCATTTCCATACTCACTCTTCACTCTTCCTTCCCCCATTAACAAGTACCGCGCCACATGTCATTCATCACCAGGTCTTTTCCTTCTTCCTCTTCACACTTCTTTCTCTCTCCTATGATCTTCGTACACCATTTCTGTCACCACTCTACCAGAATAACGTTTCTGATCAAACTTCAAAACCTAACCTAACCTAACCAAAGCAAGTCTCTCTATATTCGTCTTTTTCTTCACAACAATCATCCATTTAAATTAAAATCAAAATATCTAAAGTTTCACTCTCTGTTTACGTTTCGAATAAGCTTAAAATAGAAATAATATTCATCTTCATCATCGGAGTAATCGTTGAATTAGGGATATGCAACCGTTCATAATTTCTTCTATTACTAAACTAAGTTAATCATCGTGTTTTTCATTTAATTTTATTGTATTTTACTTTTTGGTTGCTATTTGACTAGTACTGTTTTATGGTGTTCTATTCCACTAGTTTGTTTCATCATAACTATGGGCTAGTTTGTTTCATTATAGTTATTTATTTCCCCCCAAAGCTTCTACTGTTGTTAGGTTGACTTATATTTCATTATTTTGCTGAATTAATTAATTATTTTCTTGCTTCATGCAGTTGAATCCCTAGCAATATTGTTCCAAATGAGAATTTGATTTTCGAGTAACGTGAAACAAGAAAGTGATGGGGGGTATTTGTTCTAGGAAGAGACAAGTTATTGAAGATGATTTACGCAGGGGAGTATCTGGAAGGTACTGTAGAAGTGCAAGCACTAAATGGTTAGGAGCAAGAAGTTTACGTTCTAAGACTAATCACTGCCCTGGAGTGGGTACTTGTCCCTCTCTTATGGATTTATGCATAAATAAGATGCGCGAGGTGCATGTTTTTGATTTTAGTTAATTGTTTGTTTTTATTTGGTTGTTTTCATAGAGTACTTAATCCACGTTATGACAGGATTTTCATAAATACGACTCGTTTTCAATTCTACCAAGAGACATAAGCCAGCAGATCTTCAATGAATTGGTGGATTCTCATTGTCTTACAGAAGCATCTCTCAATGCTTTTCGTGATTGTGCCCTTGAGGTATAGTGTGTGCGGAAGAGGTTGATGAAATTGCTTGTTTTGCTTTGATTTAAATACTTATCAAAATGTGTTGTGTTTTTCATGGTAGGATGTTTACTTGGGAGAATATCTTGGAGTGAATGATGATTGGATGGACGTCATTGCTTCGCAAGGGTCTTCTTTACTTGCAGTTGATGTTTCTGGCTCTAATGTGACAGATAATGGACTACGATTCTTAAAGAATTGCTCAAATATTCAAGCATTGACCCTCAATTATTGTGATCAATTTTCCGAACACGGACTCAAACACATCAATGGTAGGTAGAACTACTATTTTCTATCCTTACAGTTGTCTTTCTTTTTATGTAACAAAACAAATTATTATTCAATTTTTTTTTATATCTTGCAAATAAAATTGGAGAAATTCATTCATGAATGTTAACCCGCATTGGATGTTATGCATATTGAAGTTATTTTACATGAATAGATACGAGACATCAAGAGTTTTATTTGATTAACATAATTAATCAAGGCAAATTTGTTGCATTAGGTCTATCAAACTTGACTTCATTGAGTATCAGGAAGAGCTGTGCTGTCACACCTGATGGAATGCGAGCCTTTTCCAACTTAGTTAATTTGGAGAAGTTGGACCTTGAGAGGTGTTCATATATTCATGGCGGATTTGTTCATTTTAAAGGTTCCTATTCTTGATATCTTGCTTAGTTATGTGTTTGAAGTAAACTTCCTTATGTATTTGACAATGTTGACATTGTAAAAAAACCAACTTTAAATCTAGTAATTTGTAACAAAATTATATTTTCTTTAACATATATTTAGGTGTGAGATATGGTTGGTTAATTGGGCGGCCCATCACGAGCTTCTTCTGGCTAGATGAACATTATTGTTATTCCATAAAACTTCATCTCAAAATTTGTTTTGTTTCTTGCTCGACTCTTAAACTATTTGCTCAATAAGTAACTGTTTTACTGGTTGTTCGTTGTAAATTTCAAATGCATCTTATGAACTCACCATATTCTTTTATTCAATAACTTTCCTGTAACCATCTTTTATCATTTGTGTGATGTCATACTCTTCTTTTAAATTATTTTAGATGAATCATCATCCTTATCTTATAGTTGGTGTCGATGGCATCTGGTTGGTGCCATAGCCTACGCTTAATGGCAATAATAAGTTCTACCTTCATTAAACAGACCTTTTTTATTATACAAAAATGTTTAAGGGGAGGGAAGGGCTGATGTCAGGGTATGCCAATTTAGGGTACAATTGACTTCTAAAGAAACTTTCCTGCTTAGAGTTTGCTTTTAAAGAAACTTTGTTTTGAAATTACTAGGTTATAGAATTATTTCCTTTGTTTTTTTTAATACAGGTCTGAAAAAACTCGAGTCTCTTAATATCGGATGCTGTAAATGTATTTCGGATTCAGACATGAAGGCTATCTCAGGTATTGGTCCTTTATTTTTTTATCACAGTAGTTGCATTTCAATCTCTCCTATCTGTTTTGTGCACAACACAATTTATATTTTCATGTTTTATGATATGCTATGTTGAAGTTTTTCCCTAATGAGGCGGATGCAAAATGTTATTATGGTTGATACTCAACAACAATTTTTGTAGTTGAGATTATGCCTGAAGATCTGGTTAATTAATAGCTTCATGAGATTACCTAATTTAATTCTTTCTCTTCGTACTTTTAGATGCAAAAATCTAGGCCGCGGTTAAAGTTTGAGTTGACTGTCAGTATGAAATGTTTCAGGTTTTATTAATTTAAAGGAGTTGCAAATTTCCAACAGCAATATTACTGATCTTGGGATTTCTTACTTAAGAGGTA